TCTTCCCATATCAGATCACACACAGTTTTTAAATGTTTTTAGGTAAATAAACAAGTAAATAAATAAGTAAATGATTGAACTGATATTGGACATTGTGTACCATGCAGTGTCTACGTAAAGTTTCAAGAAGTACTCATTGCCTCTAAGTTGACTAAACTGTCTAAATGTTAATTTGTTTAATAATTATAGTAGTATATTCTGCAACTAGTTTGTAATGTTGGCCTTTATTGCACGAGTACACGTTTTGAAAACCAGCGACGTGAGGAGGAAGTTTTTAAATTTGTACGCTAGCAATAAAGCAATATTATTAAAGAGTTGCATACATTATTTACTGTATAGCATTATTACGAGTATAAATTTATAAGAGAATAAAAGTTAATTTTTATAAACAACTTTATTGTCACGTCACGAGTATTTGATATCTGTGGGATAAAATAATGGTAGGCTTTTCGATTTACCGCTACCACCCCCACGATTCTCTCGCTACGATTGGCTGAACGTATGACACAATTATGCGTGCCCTAAACTGCAAACACGACGTAATCTGCGTCATAAGATGTCCTTTTATAAACGATTTCTAGTAACCAAAAAGGTGGTTTGTAATGTTGGAATACAAAAAAAATAATTCATAGCATAATTTCATGAGATGTAGCTTGTGTATCTGCAGTAATTTATTACTCTATTGCTAGAAAATATTACAAGAATTACAAATTAATGTATGAAGCATCATAAACGAAAGCACTAATTCAAGGATGTTAGTTGCTTATGTTAAACAAAAACTTAATTTAATTTCGATCTATTGTTAGTAATAACTTCTGCAGTTTGGATTATGGGACAAGATGATTGGGTGATTGGGGACGCACCTTAATGAAAGGCTGCAACGCTGCCAGACAATTCCATTCTCATTACGTCAGCATCCCGCAACGGCACTGAACGATTACCGACAGTACAAGGGTGAGCTGTAACCATGGTGCACTCGGTGCTAATAGAAATAAATGTGTGTTTGTAGGAACTCTTAGAGCTACACGAGGCAACGCTCACTGACGTACTCACTACGCGAAAAAGCAAGTAAACGAAATTGAAATAAAAAACTGCGTAATATTATGCAATAATATTTCAATCTTTCAAGACATTCATTACATTCTGATTGATAGATTCAACCGTCAGATAAAGTTTATAATCGTTGTTTTTCAGTGTCGTAATTCAACCATACAGTATACCTATTCAAATTCAGGGTAAGACAGGGTAGGTTTTCTTAGGTCCAAATAAATCTACCAGATGGTTGTTTTTCGTTCGTTGATGCTTGCCTAAGATAAGTGTTAACTTTTCTTACTGTATTTGTAAACACAAAATGTCTCGGAAACACCATTACTTGATTATACTGAAAGACTTCTTTATATGCTTCATGGCTTTCAATAAAGACCAGCATTCACAGAACTTCATACATTGTAATTAGCACTTACTTTAAAAAAGGTGACTTTGTTAGAGCTAGAGGACTTCGCAAGTTGTTTCATCCTTCTGAATTTTGAAACAGAAATTACCAATTCGTTGTTGTATTCGTTGTAGTATTTGTAGAAGTATTAATTATTCAGTTTAGAATAAATTAGAAATAAAGTAGCTCTTGAGTGATCTCATACAAACAAGACTTGCGCCTCCGATATTTAAGGACATGTAGAGAACACAGAACGTGTCGAAAAGTGTTTGCAAGAAACTTTAAGTTCGGTAATCCCTCACTATTTGCGAGAGTTAGGTTCCCGCAAATCATAGCGAATATCAAATCCGCGAATGTTGAGTCTATCTTTTAATGAAGAACTGTGGGGGAGATTCCTGGATATCGAAAAACTGTTTTAAAAAATGAAAAAAATATTTGACAAACAAGTGTAGTAGAACTTTAGTAAGCACTACTATAAACAGAATTCACAATTAACATTGCAAGGGTATCAATAAAACTAGTGATTCCACAGAATGACATACTCTCTCGTGTTAGTTTTCTATCTTCTTTGGTCTGAGCTAGTCAATGGAACTCGCCACATACTCTTTCCCGCTGCCATCTATCATCTCCCAGAGTACACTTTCTTAAAATTTCCGATTTTTTTTCTGTTTTCTAATAGTAGAACTGAAATATTACTTTACAATTATTACAGAAGAGTAACAGCTCGACCTAAACGGGAATTTTCTTTGAAAAATTTGAAATAGTTTTTAAGAATAAGGCATTTAAGCATTACTGTATATTCAAAATATGAAGCTCTTTTTCATAAATTTTTGAGTTTTCGAAAAACTTCATAAAATTCAATAAATAAATCGCTGGTTTCGAAACTCCTTTTACCACCAGGATTCGAATCTAGGACCTTCTCTTGTGGGCTTGCAAATATATGCGCTAAATTACACCGTTTAGGGTTTACCATGATAAATTTAACTTATTGACATTATAAACTGGTGTGTCTCTGAAGTGAGATGTACTTGAATGTTCTTTGGTAGTAAGTGTAACATTCGGCTATAGATAAAAAGGTCCATCCCTATCCCAAAAATAATTGAACATTCAGTAATAACAATAATAATTATTATAAAAAATAATAATAATAACAATAATAATAATAATGATAATAATAATATAATGAGAACATACTATTGCTTTCTAAACACTTCTCTTTGTATAAACTTCAAGATTTTTATCAATAATGAAGATTTTTTGCAGTTTTTCATGACCTAATTAGCTTGATGTCTCATCGGAATACATCTAAATATAAAATACAGATATTTTCCTAATTAAGAGGCCAATTCTCATCTAATGCTATTTAACCTTCGGAAAATATTAATAAAAAACTCACAATGATGGTCTCGTTTAAAAAATCTTACGAGACAACCGTAAAATTCAATGGAATTAATTGAGGTACTGTCAATAATGATAAATTAGTCAATTTTTAACAATATATTTATTCATATGTTACAATCTACGACATACAATAAAATTACATAAAGACACATTACAATATTCCAATTTATTTACATCAATATATTTTTAAAAACTCTTGATAATATCTACAGTTCTTTATATTTGCTAAGTTTAAATAGCTACATTATTCCTGTAATGTTTTAGTTTCAATTTAATAAAATTATAAAGATACGGTAATTAAGTCAATAATTACGTTTTGCAATACGTTCCATTGACCAGTTGCTTACGGATGTTTCCATTACAAACATAATGATAACCTAGTTTAACATTATGTATTTAAAATCATATGGTGATATGTATTCATGTAGTACACATTAATATTTTAATGGCAGTGATTATAATGTATTTTTTTAATTAATTTTGTTTATTTTCAGTTGCATCGACTACATGAAATTCGGTTGAATAAAAATACCAATATTTGACAAATTCTAATTATTCTAACTAAACATTATTAACAAATCAATCTCGAGATTTCTATAGAGAAATTATGTTAATTATATTTCATTATATATGATATAATAAGTAGATCAAGGAGCTGCTGTTAATGGATACAATTAAATTTGATTCACATTAAAGTAGTTGCCTTGTTGAGAATTTTTTCCTACACTCGACATTCACTGAATCAATCTTACATGAAATATCTGATTGTATTAGCTGCCAATTTAATAATATTTTTATATAGTCGCATGTAGATACTTATTCTTCTTCCCGTATTAAGTATATCATTCGTTTTCAATATCGTAAACTCTAATAGTTGCCATAAAGTTACATTCATATTGGAAGGAAGTAACATTCTAATATCTTTCATTTACTATAGCTTCATTAATAGCTGCAATTTAAATAAAATTTTATACTCGTTATTCAATTTCTGTAAAATACAGGCTAGTTCTATTTGCTCCCTAAGAATTACATAATATGTTCGATATAACTTAATTTACACTTAATTTAAACGTGATTTTCACAATTAATGTAACTCTATTGAACGCTTATCATTACTTACCTCTATTAGATGCCTCGTATGCGAGTTTTCAATCATTTGTTCGAGAGGTGATAACTCCGCAAAGAACTGTTTCCCAATTTACCCATAACTTCCTTTGAAGGTTAATAGCTGCCATAATAACATAATACGCAACACATTTAATTTCCGATTTCCCCCCATTTTATTATGTAACTTTGCGAAAATCAGAATCCGTGAATTAACATTGAATGTTGTAACACTACCACAATTTCTTCACTAGCAAGGATGTGTTTGTGAGTATTTTATAGCTTGTTGATCAGTCACCGTAGCTGCCATATTTTATGCAAATTTATTTCTGCAATTGTTCCAAACGATTTTCGTAATGTATTAATCTATTATTATTATTATTATTATTATTATTATTATTATTATTATTATTATTATTATTATTATTATACGAGTGATTCCAATGGTCTAGAAAATATTATTTTCTAGGCGTAATTTCATTATCGAAGCTGCCATTTTCAGAACAGTTCAGAACAACTGAACTCAGAAAGATTTTCAGATATTTTGCTACTGATACGACATCAATATCAAAACATCAAACGTTGGAACAAAAAATGCAATTAATAATATGTGAGAATCAAAAATTGCCGTTTATACGCACCTGTACGTTTTGCTTCTTTTAATGTTGAACCTAGCAATCTGGTACACGGTAGCTGGCTCTGGCTACGTAAGGGCCAAGCTGCCTAGATAGCTGCCTAGATAGCTGCCTAGTTAGCTGCCTAGATAGCTGCCTAGTTAGCTGCCTAGTTAGCTGCCTAGTTAGCTGCCTAGTTAGCTGCCTAGTTAGCTTCCTAGTTAGCTTCCTAGTTAGCTGCCTAGTTAGCTGCCTAGTTAGCTGCCTAGTTAGCTGCCTAGTTGGCTGCCTAGATAGCTGCCTAGATAGCTGCCTATATGGCTGCCTATATGGCTGCCTAGATGGCTGTCTAGATGGCTGTCTAGATGGCTGTCTAGATGGCTGCCTATATGGCTGCCTAGTTAGCTGCCTAGTTAGCTGCCTAGTTAGCTGCCTAGATGGCTGCCTAGTTAGCTGCCTAATTAGCTGCCTGGTCTTCTGGAAACTGCCTTGGAAACTAAATTGAGGCACCGTCCGGTTAGCTGAAATGTATGCCTTTGTCGTTAAGATTCTAGCAATGTTCGACCAGAAGCCGATAGCTGCCTTAATTCACATAGACGCAGTGGAAACACTAAGCTAAATTAATATACAATAGCTACAACGAGGGCAACAACTTTCGCTGGTACTAAGATCGCGTATTCAAAGTCTTATTTCTATGTTTTTATAATATAGGTATTTACAGATAAGTTACGCCTTACAAACTGAATTTAAAAATTAAAGAGTACGTTCTCAAGATATGAAGCCTGTTTTGTGTTAACAACTTATTTTGGACCAAACATTTTTGGAATTAGAAGCAATGGAAAGAATTAGATTGAATCAACATTTTAAAATTAAAACAAAAAAATATTTAAAAATTTGTTTAAAAATTTTAAAACTAAACGTATATCATCGGAATAAAAAAAAACTTTTAAAGTTTTCCTGAGAACGTATCCTTAGCTGTTTCATTTCTGTTATCGGGGAAACATAGCCGATCAGAGTTTGCATGCAGTCGAGGAAAATCAACTCTCTACCAGACAGACAACCCTCTTCAGCACCCGAATAGCACAGTAGAAATCAACTTCCTGCGGCGTCAAGTGAATGCACCAATTCAACGCCAAGTTCAAAGGACGTTCTTCTCCAAGAATATGGGCAGGAGTCTCTGCAGGGCCGCACTGAACCGTTTGCCCGCCATCGCTTTATCGTATATCGTAATTTCACCTTTCTCCAACTGTTCCATCGTCAAGTCCTCCATAGCAATGGCTTCGGAGGGTTCGGCAACCACGGCGCACAGCACAGTGCAGGCAGACAGGAGGCCGAAACTCGCCCGCCGGTCCATGTCCTCCTGCAGCGCGTCCGTCGTGATGGCCTTGTCCCCGTGGCCCAGCGCCGTCAGCGTCTCCCGCAGTTGATCCACGTAGGTGTCCAGCAGAGCGCGCCAATGCTGCTCGCGCACATCTGCCTGCACGCTGGTGTACAGGAAGTACTGCAGGTCGAGAGAGGGAGGCGCATACCTGCAATGAGAAAATCATTTCTTAGAATTTTGGGGTCGTAACAAATATGAATAATGATTTTGTAAGTTAAAAAAATCATAGATATACGAATTGTAATAGACTTCACAATAAATTATTCAATATTAAATGGCTTCAAATTTAATTTATTTAGATCGCAGAACATACAAAAGTTAACTAATGAATGACAATCCTTATTTCTTGCTGTTGGAAAGATGTATTAAAACTATATTCAAATTAATCAACTTTTGCAAATCGCTTAAATATTACTAGTATTAGTATTAATGAACTAGTAATTAACCTTTACCCAAAGCAGAATTAAGATTTTAATGCCATTTTATGGTGCTTTAATGTGCATAGAACTGCTTGAAGAAGTTATGGGATGAAATTATTTTGCCTTAAAGTGTCATTACCAATATTTGTTTCTCTGGTAATTGTTCTGTTTAGTAAAAAGTGTTATAGTAAAGTGTTATGATTGTCGTATAAACATTTTCCTTCCTAACTCGCTGAATGCGAGACATTTTATGAAAGCGTACAGCTGTATCAATTAAAACATTTTACAGCTGGCAATGCCTGAACGCAAAAATGACGCAAAAATATGACGTCAGTGGTCAGATGTACCAAAAGCAAACAAATCATGTTGTGTACGAACACCCACCTCATGATCTGGTAGTCAATAAACCGCATCTCCTCGAGCTTTCCAGTTTCCACTGAGTATCGGAAAAGGTTGTTGTTGACCCAGCAATCACCATGGTTGAGCACGTTCAAGAATGTCTTCGAAGCGGTGACGCATTCTATGACCTGATCAATGACGGTCTTTGCGAAGTTGCGAACTCTCTCTACACATCCGGCGAACTTCGGATCCTCCCAAGATCCCACGGCCTTCGCAACACCCTCGAACATTGGAGGTATAAATTGCTCGATCTCCTCCCTCTTGTTTGGATCGTAGAAAGCTTCACCGTAACTCTCGACTTCTTCAGGATTTTGCTCGTGCAGAGCCACGGACGCGGCGTGGAACCGCGCCAGGTTCCGGAGGACCATCGTCGCGTGCTCCAAATCCATTCCAACGTACCGATCGCACATGCGGAAGCCCTGTTCCTTGAGATCCTTGAGCACGATGGTGAATTCGCGCTCACAGGGCAGACTTCTTGGAGCGAAAACTACCTTTTCAGATGTTTTCTCATTCAGTATGGCCTCAAGGGCCGGAATGGTGGAGGTGTACATCTTTCTCTCCCGCGGGAATATGCCGGACTCCATCACGAATTGTTGCATCACATCCCCTGCCGGCAAGGTTTTGACGATGAGGGAGGTTGTCTTGGGAGACTCTTCTGGAGCGTCTTGGAGATCGTAGTCGACGCCCACGCGCAGGAGGAGGCTGGCGTAGTTGTCGCCTTTGCCCACCGCACGCGCCACCTTCACTTTATGAACAGTCACCGGGCGTCCCTCCTCCCGGGCCAAGATGCCCGCCACGAACTCGTGGTCCACCCAATCTGGCAAAGCGTCGGATGTGTCATTGGTGCCATTCGGAATGTCGTTGGTAGTTGCCATTTTGTGAAAGCTGTAACGAAAAAAATGAAATACCGTCAGTCTTACAACCCAATATTATTTCATATTAGTAATAACAATTAATGCGCGCAAACGTAAGGATCAATGACATACTTTGTTGACAGAGATTGTTTATTCGCAAGAAGTAACATAGAGAAAAAATAAACCTATGCGCAAAATTGTATTTCTGATGATGCAAATGGATAAAAAGAACGAATCTGTTGCAACTTAAAAATGCAGTTAAAGATCAGCGAAATGCGTATATTTTTGCGTTTTTTAATGCATGATGTTCCACTATTTTTAACTGAAGTTTATAATAGGAATAGTTCATCATCTATACAATTGAATGTGCAGATGTATGTATTCGTTAGAATACACGTTCGTACATGAATTTTTTATTATTTTCATTCGTCTTTGAAACATCTGTTATTTAAAGCACTATCTTTCAATGGAAATATCGTAATTTGATGACCTTGTAAGGATATAGTATGTTAATCTTATCTTTATCAAAAACTGGAATTTCATTCCAAGTGGAAAGAGTTGATAAGGCGTATCCTCAACGTGTAACTCCAGCTGATTACTTAACAGTTCATATGTAGCTGTTTTGCCAAAATGCGTAAGTTCTTGCACAAATAGCATCTTTGCATGCTCAATTAACGTAAGCTAGATAAACTCCGTCAATGAATAAGAAAGTTTCTGGGATTATATTTCTATGGATTCTATGGATTACATACAATGGGAAATTACAAAAAAGTAACAGTATAACTGTATGTAGTTTTATGTATTCCAGAAGTAAAACCATGAATCTCCAAAGAGTAATTTTTCTGGTTTTATTTCAGGTAAACGCATTTTAATTTAAAATAAATTAACTGATTTTGTGAAGTATTTAATTTTTAAAAAATCATTCGCAACCTTATCTTTTTTCTACAATACATCGTTGCTCGTAGTATTCACTGTGTTATATTCTAATGTCAATATGCAAATGGAAACTAAAATAAATGGGTTCGAAATTATTTCAATTAAATGTAAAAAATATAAATTAATTATTTAAAATACATTCATGGGTTTAAATTTACTCAAGTACAAACTAATAATTTTTATGTGAATCTTGTTCTTGGTTCATTAAAAGCCATGGATTTGATGTAAATGAGCAACTGATAAAAAACTGCAGAGCATAAACGACACATTTCTTCATTATTATTTTTATCATGACACAACTGCTCCAGCCAAGCAGAATTCAAACTAGTTCGTGAAGCATCGGCAAGCATTAATTCAGTTTATGATTCCAAACGAAACAAGTTCACACCTCTTCAATGCACTATTTCTTGCAAGCATAAACCCTGTTCAAAAGTATCACAACCGGCCTAATTTAATGAAAATAAAGAAGAAATACATTTTGGAAAAAGTTGCTCAAAATCCTGAAGTACTGACCATCACATCCAAGCAACTTCATTGAAACGCTATTTAATGTAATTTCATTTTTTAACCCGAAAGATAATTATGTCAAACGAGCAGAAATATTTTTAAGTTAACTAATAGGGTAGGTAATAGAAATCTTTAACATAAAACACTCGAACTGAACAGGAAGCGTTAACCAATTAGCATACCTACGTTTCGATTTCTTTATAACCTTCGAATGTATCGTCGGTGCACAAGAAAAGTAACATCACAAAAACTGTATTTTGCAAGAATAAATCGTATAGTTCCCTAGACAACTGGTATAAAGTGAAACATTACCTTTGCGAAATTAAGGACGCTATTCATTGCCGATTTTCCTGCAATCCAACAATTTTTGAGGATGCCACTTTTCTTGTGCACTGACGACACGTCACTGTTCAAACATATTCCCAAAACGTTCATACCACATCACTTTCTCCTTAATGAACATCCTAGCACTTAAAATATTCACTGATCATTAGTAAAAAGTAATCCTTTAGGATGCCACCTGCACTGCTCACCTGCCAGTCCCTCTGTAGCCCCGACGTGTCGGCAGCCGCTGCTCTGCTACCACAGGTGTGCCTGGTCGAATTCGATCAACTCTCCGTTTGTCTGATTATATACTGTGGCGTGGCATTGCCCGATCGCACCTGAACACAATCGCTCCTTCGTGACGTCATAACGTTCGCGGCCACATCGGCGAGGATATCAGCAAGCAACAGCATCAGCGGTGCCGGCGGCGGCTAGGGCCGCCGCGCCGCCGGGCTACAGAATTGCCGCGCTCGGCGTTGGGCATTTTATACTCTTACGGGCGGCGCGCCGTTTCTGAGCGCAACCGCGAGAACGTCATTTCCTCGATGACTTGAGTCCTCGATGACGGAGGACGTCGTCGCATGAAATACCGACATGCCGCTGGCTGATTCCGTTCACGGCACGTCAGCTTCCCGCGGCGCGGCTGCTCGAGTTCTAGCTGTCTGGTTGTAACTGTGTTCAATCGGTGCGAAGACAAACGAAATAAAACGGGTGATTGACAGGCTGCAAATAAAAGTAGAAAACAAAGTTTAAATTCAGACTTCACGAAAATGCATAAAAATAATTTGTTTATTAACGTAATAAATACTATAAATCTGTTCAATAACTTCAAAGTTTGAAAAATAATTGCCATTACATTCGTTTCTAGCGAAAAATGTATTTTATAATCATTGAATGATATTATTATTATTATTATTATTATTGATATTATTATTTATATTATTATTAATATTATTGATATTATTATTTACTTTTTTAAAGTATAATTTAATAAAACTTCATATTTTGAGGAATGAAACCATGTTTCTCACACAGTGGATGCGACTATCATGAAGATATCTTGAACATTCTAGAAATGCGTAGCATAATACAAGAGGGAGAGGGAGGCAACTATATAAACCATGAGATACATTTTTTACTGTTTTAGAATCTCATATAAAATATATTAAAGGCTATTTCGAAGTCTAGTGCAGTTTAAAAACTGCTAATCATTTAAAGAATGTTTTGCGTCAAATAGGCTCCTTGGTAACGCATTTCCGTTAACAACAATAATCATCATTAAACAGTTTTATTAGAACATTTAAGTTAAGTCTTAATATACAAGGGGTGATAAGGAACAGTTTATTAAACATCAATAGACGTAACCCCTAAATAGAAAATAATATATTCCGGCACAGATTATCCAGGAAGACATACATGATTAAAACCCGTGGTCGATGGTGCTTAATTCTGAGTATATCAATCCTTTTTGCTGCCTCTGAAGAAACAAGTCCTTTCAACAAGTTCGAACTCTAATAAATAAAAAACCTGGTTATACTCGTACGCATCTAATCGCACATTTTATTATAACGTTACGTTTCGCAAAAATATACAACACATTGTAAATTATCGTGAAACATATCAGTACAATAGAGAAAATGATTGCACCGATGCCGATTGCAACCCTATAATGACCGAAGAGTGTTGTATAAATTACTGTAGGTAAATGTGTGTTGTTGTGAGTCGTGTCATTGATATTTGAAGTAACGTGAAATGTGATTGTTTTGTAAATTTCATTGAGGTAGGTCAGTAACCAGGAGCGGTTGATGCGACCATATTCCTTATAAATAAATAAATAAATAAACAAACTTTTTGACGAAACACGCGACGCGCTCATTTTCCACAACGTTTATATGATTAATTTGATACAAATATATTTTTAACAAGTATTAAACTATAAATTCTTTATTTTAACATTTTTCTGAATGGAAATTTGTCTCGAATTTATTGCATATGTTTACTGTTGTATACAATATTAAGTAAGCATCAAAGAGAATATTGAGCAAACCATGACATAAATCGACTATAGAAATTATACTAATTAATGAGTAACAAAAGTAAACATTGATTACCCTTTACATCTTCCAGTAGATGTAATGTTTATTAAACTAAACACATTATTACTTCTTTTGTTAAAACGTATTGCATACTCAAACATGTATGTAATTCTATTCCAGAAAAGTGCAATGACAAACCGAGTAGACTACATGGCATATTACAACAGCGAAATTGACTATTAATGAGACATCGAAATAAGCTATGAACTCTCGAAACTATTCGAAGTCGTATGAAGACATTCTTCGGAGATGTTTCTAGAGCGGCTTGCGAAGCGCTTTTTTTAGACTCATTTCGCAAATATCCTGTGAACTTAGAGCAGAAGGCGGAGGTGATTCGAGGATTCTTGGACATGAGGGTGACGTACGCGGAATGACCGCAAGCTATCTCCTCAGCCCAGTGAACGGATTCTCAGAGAGGATAAGCACTCTCTATTACCCGAATTGGAAACAACTGAGAAGAGAGCAGAGAGAATTGTCTAAAGGTTTGAAGCAATGCCGCAGGCCTGGGTGGCGCTAAGAGAGTGGAACAGCGTCCAAGTACGCGGAGCCGAATAATTGATTGTTTAAGGTTTCGGGACGTGTCAACAGCTAAGGCTACTAGCACCGTAACAGTAGTGCATTTTCTATCGTGTGATGTGGCAGTGATCTTCCGCAAGTCCATGTCGAGATCCGATGCCGACTTATCCTTTGGCTTGTGCAGTTTTCCCTAACCAGGTATCTCCTACTAAACTCTAAGCTCCCGGCATGTGAGGTAGTGTAGTGCATGTAAGTGTAAGTAAGGAAGGAGGAAAGGACAAGGAATAGGACGGAAAGATCGCGCGCGGTCTTGTTAGGGTACTGATCCAGCATTCGCCTGGTATTTATCGGGAAAACTGCGAAAAACTACTGATCAGAGCCGCCGGCCGCTAGAAGTAGTATCCTCCAGATAGCACATTAATTCGATATATCTAAATAACTAGTGTAAATACTCTCACCATCGTCGGGCCTCGAACCTACGACCACCGGGTCAGAGGCACCACAGTGACATCAATTGATGCCCTGAGCCACCTAAGTCAATACTCAGAGCCGATGATATGAGTCTCGTGTAGGGCATGGGTGTTTTCACCAAGAGGTTGTGACGTAGGCAGCATTCTCTTGCCACCACCACGTCTACATCTGTGTAGTTACCCATCCATAATCATTCATGTATTATCATCATTCATCCCTTATGATCATCGAATCTAAACATCGTTTATGTGATATAATGCTTTGGCGAACTACTAGCATAGCCTCTTGCTCAGAGAAGAGGAAGGGCAAATGCAAATGCAGCCTGCCTGGTTTACGCTCAGAAATGAGTATGATACTCATCATCATGAAGAAGTTGGATACATTTTATTTGCAGGAGTATCTCCATGCTAATGTTTTTTTAAAAACCGGCGATAATGGACTTTCTGGGGGAGCTGCTCTCGGTATTTGTTGTAAAAGTAATAAACGTTAGGATTAGATATCAGATAAATATGTGAAATTAAAACTACCAATTATTATTGTTATTGTTGTTGTTATTGTTGTTGTTATTGTTATTGTTGTTATTGTTGTTGTTAATTATATTTATAATTATATTAATTATTAAATTACCTTGAAGTAAATCCATTTCTTAAAAAAATTTTACATATTTGTTTAGACAAGGTTTTTAATCAGTTTTTAAAGTTTTACTCCACATTTCGTAAGCTTCATAATATTTTGAATACCAAAGTAAACTTTCTAGATTGCTGAATGTATTTTAGACTATGGAAGTAATAATCCACAATCACTTATTAGATTAAGCATAGAAGAAATATTTTCTTCTCTTCTTTAATCAATTTAAACGCAAGGTCATCAGTATTACTTAATGTTAAACAATAATGTGATGGGTCTGAAACATAACTAGGCATCAGTAAACATTCTTTTCCATTTCCTGTATTTGTTTGCAGCTGTTTATTAGTCACGCTTAATCTTTTTATAACATATGTGTTAGAGAAAAATATTTAGAAATAACGTAATAGAGAGGTTGTATATTTAAATAGTTACTGAAAATATCATAAGGAACTGTAGGTATGGGCCAATCTCAAGCAATATCTTTCCAATCTCGACCAATGTTTACGTTTTGGGACGTTCAGTTCAGATTGTTATATTCAGTACCTCCTTGCGAAGTTGCATTGTGGATTAACGCCGTTTTCACACATTTCCTCGTCCTTCACATATAACAGATACATTATTTACTTTATCTTTCTTTCCTCATTCAACTTCCTCAGCCACATTCTCCAGTCCTCTTCCATTTTTCACGAACGTGTAATTTAACCATCCTACTTCTTTGCTATCATTCTTTTGCCTTTATAGAATATAATTTCTCTATCATCATCTTACTTCCGTAACCATGTACAAAATGTAATCCTAAGATTGTCCATAACAATACACTTACACTTCATACTTAAAAAATACACTTACCTACTTATTTGTTCTTACCTTTTTAAAATGTTCCTTTACATACTCACTATTTTCATCCTACTTCACCAACCACGTACAAAATGTACACGTGTTTTTCAATAACCTCGATCTTAAACACATATTCTATTAACATATTTACATAATCTCCTCCTTTACTCTTCTCACCTTCCAATCCGCAATATCTCACACCTCTCACGTCTCTCTTTTCATTAAATTTTAAGCTCTGATTTACTTAATGCTTATCCTATCGTCATATTACCTCTATCATATACCTATTATCCAGCTTCAAATGCTATCCACATATTACCGATAAATAGAGTGAAGGCAAAGCATCTGCCCATGTGTGAACAACGCTGGCGGCTAAACCGGAAGCAGGATTTTTACCAAAATTGATATTCTCCAATCGATCTGGCTGATGTCGGGGCCCCTTGAATTTGAAACAGATGTTTTAAATTTGGGAGGTACTGTATATGAAATCCCTGGGTTATCTTCAGTATTTTCTAAAAAAAGTTAACATTTTTTAAATTAAATGTTGACCTCGGATCGTGTAAATGGCGTTTAAGAGAATGGGGCACTTTCGATGAAATTCCTGATTTTTCGGAGATTGTAAAAATAAAAAAAATGTAGTAGTCTTCCCACAACTACAGTTTTGAAGATTTATTTATTAATGAAATGTGTTTATCAGAAACAGATCTTCAAATAAAGTCATGTTCTATTTTCGAAAATATGAGTATTTTTGCGAAAATTTTGCATTAAGCATTTGCAATTTTTAAATTTTAAATAATGATTTTTTCAGAAACGGCTCCATTTTCACGTAAGTTACAACGAATGGTAATGAAAGTGGTGCTAGTCCCATTTTCG